TATATATATATATATATATAATTAAAATAAAAATTAATTATATATTTTTTATATTTTATATTATATTTTATATATATTATTATATATATATAATTATATATTTATATTAAAAACTATTTATAATATATATATTATATATTTATATATTATTATATATAAATTATTATATTATATAAAAGTCGTGCCAATAGGCAGAATTTGCCATCTTGGTTAAATGCAACGCTCATCTTGCCATATAGGACAATGAAAATTTGGTTGCAATAATTTCGCCAAAATCATTTGAACCTAACGAAAAAAAATATTTTTCACTGTTTTTGTTTGGTATTAAATTTTTGAAAAAAATTAAAATATTTTATTTGGGGTTTAGGTAAATAAATTGCTCTTTTTAAAAAATAAGGTTAGGTAATTTTTCATGATTCTTTTGGTGAAAAAATTAAAAATTTTGACATTAAAAAAATGAAAAAAATATTTTTAAAAAAGTATAGAGAAAATTTTGAAAGGCCCTAATTTTAAATGAGTTCTTGCAAATTTTGACCAGTTTTAAAAATTGGGTGTGTATAGTCCTTGTGGCTTAGCGTTCTTTTTGATTTTAATAAAAATTTACAAATTGGCCCGACATTATTTATAATAAAATATATATATATATATTATATAAAATTTTATTTATATTTTAATAACACACACATACACACAACACACACCAACACACACACACACACACACCACACACAACCCCAAAGAGACAATCTTTCAAGGTATTACTCTGAAAGAAAATTTTAATCTTCAGTAGTTTTTTAAAAGTTTTTTTGGGGAGTAAAGAGAAGAGAGAGGGGAGAGAGAGAGAGAAGAACACTGCTAACCCCCTTGGGCGCTTGGCCCCCATAAAATATTTACGGGTGGTCCGCGAGAGCCTGAAACCAAAAAAGCGGAGATCCGGGGTTTCCCCATAGGTGAGAGTGGTGGGGAGGCGTCCCGGTGTGCTTGAATCCCCGGGGAGGAGGGAACATCCCCATTCTGCCCCCCAAACCCCAGACCATTTCAATTCCTCCTTGCACGGCAGTTTTTGCTCAGCGTAAACAAGGAAAAGGAGGGGATCGTGATCCCGAGTCATGGAATTTATCGAACGTAAATTTTTGATTATAATAATAAATCAAACGTAAATGATGTTCAAAACCCAGTTCTTCAGTAGTCCTGTGAAAAAATTTTTGAAAAATTTATGATAACAAGGATAAAAAAATCACTTTTTTGTGGGTAAAAATCTGGCTCAGATGACCAACACTCCATCTTGGGTATTACATGACTGAGCCCAGTCGGGAAAACTTGTCCGTTTCCCGAAAACCTTACCAACGTATATGTTACCCCTAACCCCTCCATTCCCCGTCAACCCGTAAGTTATTTTCAACCACAAAAAAACCCCGATAATAGATACATAGTGAATAAATACCCAGGTCCTATTTATAGGTATAGGTATCAGTGAATATGACTCACGAAATCGTAGCACCAATGCAAAACAAAACCCTACCCAACCCCTACCCCTTTTGCAATCGTGTATTACTTTCGTGAGTCATGTTGAGGCAGTGAAGGGTTGAGCTAGGTTGTCACGCCCGCTAGCTGGAGATTCGTCTGTAAAAACTTGCATTTGTGGTCACAGAGGTGCCTGTGCTAACCTTCCTATGGTGTAGAAATATACCTCGTTGGATGAATCTTATTGTGGCTAGCTGGGTTAGTGGCTAACGCGACGGTCTGAGTTTTGAGACTCTGACCGCGGGTTCAAATCCCACCCGTGGTATAATCAGTGAATAGTAAGTAAATTAATTCAGGTATACACAAATACAGTTACACAGAATACCATACATAGCAGCATATGTGTAGAGAACCCAGGATAACCCAAAAAAAATTCAGTGACTCATTTCCACTAGCATTTTTTTTGGGGGGAGGGATGAAAAACTTTCTCTAAAAACGGAAAATGGTCTTCATGACACTGCTTATTGGATTATTATTATTATAATCAAAAAGAAGCGCTAAGCCACAAGGGCTATACAGCGCTGCAACTGCTTATTGGATCAATTGCTCCCCATAAACATGAAAAAATCCTGTATATACAGCTTCCATGGAAAGTTATGAGAGCTTTTATAAGTGTGCCGTAAAAGGCACCTAAGACAGTGAAGAATCAAACGAGAGAAAACATCATTTTATCATGTTAAAAGGTCTCTTTTTATGTTTTCAGGTTCATATTCTTAAATAGCATAAAAAATATTCAGAGTTATTTTTAGCAATTTCTGGTTCTTTTTCCTAATTTTTAATTATTTCTCGTATTTTTTTTTAGTAATTTTTTGTCATTTTTGATAATTTTTAGTTATTTTTCTTATTTTTAAGTAATTTTGAAAATCCGGCCGAAAACGAAGAAAAACTCTTATAGTCCAGAGATTTAATCGTAATATTAATTGTAATATTAACCTCATGAGAATATTTATTTTAAAGTTTTATTCTTCCAATAGAAACTTAGTTTTGAGAAACAGTAATTCCGTGAGCCATTTAAGGCAATTTATTAATTTTAAAATAGTGAGGCAGCTGAGTCTGCACTTCAAACACAAGTGTTAAGAGCGATGTCACATAACGTTAAAAAAATGCAGCCACGTTGCTTTTATCTTTTAAAAAAATGCAAATTTGTCAGGCACTAATGTGCTGTCACTGTACTGTTATGTACTTTCATTTTAGTTCAATGTGCTTTCATTTTACTTTTAATCCCTATTTTAGGGATTAAAGTATTCTTGACTGGTGGTGAACAGGTTATGTGCAACCTTAACGACTCTCATGTGGTCGATAAGCTTGAAACTCTATTACCCAACCATCAACATTCAGCGAAATCTTAATCTGAACCCAATTTTAGAGATTACATTATTCACGAACAGTAGACAGATTTTCATCATCCTCGTGTAGTAAACAGGTCTTAAACCACATTAACCAACAACCCAGTGTACATCGAGGTTTCTTGCAGTTTTATGAGTATTGTGTACGTGATGCTCGACGTTTCATACATATTTTACAATACTTCTCATTCATCATCATATTACTGAGACGAATACAAACGTAAACACTGAGAGATTAATTAATTTAATGGGGTAAACTACATGTAGTGTGTGTTCATCACCAAACACGATAATTTTAGTCTCGTATACATTCATATATACACTGAATGACATACACCTCTCGGAATGATTCACGTAGGTTTAGCGCTTCACACACAAAAAAAACTAGACTTAGGGAATAAGAACCGGTCTAAAATCAAGTACCCTTTGAGTGTTTACTCATTATGATGCAGTAACAACCCTGACTGAAAAAACCTCTCGCATGTCTTGTAAATCTGTTATTCGTACAATTCTTTGCTGTTAAAAAACAAATGCTGGTTTACCAAGGAAAGCAGAATTAAATGAAAGATAACCTACGCTATTTCAAGCACTGTTGATTTTGACACCTACGGTATTAGTGATAATAAAGTACTAGTATCACCACCATCACCGCAACAATTATTATTATTATTATTATTATTATTAATGTTACTGTTGCTACTACTACTACTACCACCACAGCCACCACTACTGCTACAACCACCACCATTACTGCTGCAACTACTACTACTACTACTACTAATAATAATAATAATAATAATAATGAGAAAAAACGAAACACACAGAGGTGAGCATCAGCATATATACGCTGGGAGTTTTCCTTAATCAATCGCTATTTTGCTGTATAGCCCTTGTGGCTTAGCGCTTCTTTTTGATTATAATAATAATAATAATAATCCCTATTTTAGAGATCAAAGTATTCCTGACTGGCTGTGACAAGCAAACTTCATGATCCTTTAAATATCAGATACACTTTAAGCCCAATTACTGAAACCGTAAAACGAACAAAAGCGTTAAAAAATATTGAAAAGCTCATTGGATGCGCTGCCGCTTCCGCCACGAGCCATTCCTACACGTTAGATATGTTTCATTACACCCGTTTACCCTGTTCTCCTAACAGTAAGTAGGTACCTGGGTGTCAGCAGACTACTGTGGGTCTGCTGACCAAAGGACCAAAGATCCCAGTGGAAACAGAAATAAGCCATATAGTATGGCTTTCTTTGCATATCCTGGGCTACTAACCCAGGTAAATAAACAGAATCAAATCTATTATTATAGGCTTTGAGTGAGTGGTTAATGGGCCATTAAAGTTGCACGAAACTTGATCACCACGAATCTAGAATATCTTACTTTCTTAAATAGCAATGAAAGTAACCTCTCACTGTATATATAGTTACTTCACAACCAACAGCGAAGGTACATCTATAGTTAATTAAGGTTAGTCACTCACACAAGCCTTAACTGTTCTTAGCAAGATTATTGTATAAATTTATACTACGGGTTCCCCTCAAGGAAGGTTCCTTGATGTTGGTGAGGGGCTCTTGATTTAGGGAATTGGATCTGTGCTCCAGTTCCCCGAATTAAGCCTGAATGCCTTCCACATATCCCCCCCCCCAGGCGCTGTATAATCCTCCGGGTTTAGCGCTTCCCCCTTGATTATTATAATAATAATAATATACTACGGGTTGCAAAATCATTTGCAGATTTTCCAGAAATGAAAAAAAAATATTGAAGTGACAGCAACGTCGCAGTATAGACTATAAGGCATCTTGTTTTTAGTGATAATTCACCTTTCAAAAAGGTTAGTTAAATGTCAATTTTTTGCCATTTCTATCCTTCGAATAATTTTTATTATCGAAGTTTTATAATAATAATAATAATAAATATAATAATTTAAAGAACCCCAATGGAAATAAGTTACAATGACTTTATTACCCATACTGTACTAATGTTGTATGTGTATAGCACATGTATACCTTCATACAGTAACTGTTGTATAATCTTACATTGCTGCCTGTAAAATATTCGTCGATTCTCCTGAACAGATTGTCTTCATAATCACTGTCGTTGTTTTCTGTGCTGGACTCGATGGCTTAGCTTCAATAGTTTCCTTGTCACCTACTCCCAGCTTACCTGAAGTATAAGATTGAGGGTGGCCTTCGAGTGCTGCCTGAGAAACGTCGGGTCGTGTTGCTTGATGCCCATCTGCTGCATGATCTTTCTCATCTCCTCGGCGCTACGCATGACGGAGGTCTGTAGCCGCTTCGACTTGAGGGCCTTGGTGATGAAGTTGGCCACCATCACCCAGTAACCCAGCCCGATCAAGGTCCACAGGATGACGCAGATCTGGTACACGTACAGCGTCCCTCCCTCGAAATGTCGACCTGTAGGTAGAGGTGTGAGTGTACTCACCTAGTTGTATTCACCTAGTTGAGGTTGCAGGGGTCGAGTCCAAGCTCCTGGCCCCGCCTCTTCACTGGTCGCTACTAGGTCACTCTCCCTGTACCTTGAGCTTTATCATACCTCTGCTTAAAGCTATGTATGGATCCTGCCTCCACTACATCGCTTCCCAAACTATTCCATTTCCTGACTATTCTGTGGCTGAAGAAATACTTCCTAACATCCCTGTGACTCATCTGTGTCTTCAACTTCCAACTGTGTCCCCTTGTTGCTGTGTCCAATCTCTGGAACATCATGTCTTTGTCCACCTTGTCAATTCCTCTCAGTATTTTGTATGTCGTTATCATGCCCCTCCCCTATCTCTCCTGTCCTCCAGTGTCGTCAGGTTGATTTCTCTTAACCTCTCCTCGTATCACATACCCCTTAGCTCTGGGACTAGTCTTGTTGCAAACCTTTACACTTTCTCTAGTTTCTTTACGTGCTTGGCTAGGTGTGGGTTCCAAACTGGTGCCGCATACTCCAATATGGGCCTAATGTACACGGTGTACAGGGTCCTGAACGATTCCTTATTAAGATGTCGGAATGCTGTTCTGAGGTTTGCTAGGCGCCCATATGCTGCAGCAGTTATTTGTGTGTGTGAAACGCTGGAGGTTTCCTCCTCCTTGATCCTCTGAGCCTCTAGATGGGAGTGTGTGTCTTGATCTGTCCATGGTGTGTGTGCCTTATTATTATTATTTATGGGAAAGCGTTAAATCCGTTAGGATCATATAGCATCTTGTGTGAGTATACAAAGTTCCAGAAGTTTAGCAGTACAATAGTGCGGGACTATTTGGGGTAGTTCAAGAACTGATGAGGATCAGAATGGTTGGAAAATTGGTAAATTTTTGAGTGGGAAATAGCTGGGGATTTCTAGAAGGACCTAATTATACTTTTTTATTAAGTGCGAAAATAATTATATGAAGCAGTAAGCCTGTGTGGGTCATTCAGCACATGAAGGTGTGGTTGCTAGACGTTCCGTCAGTTAATCATGGGACAGAACATCCAGTAGCCTGTTTCTTGAGGAGGGAAGGGGAGGTTTGTGGCTACTTAAGACATTATACGATCTAAGGGAGATGAAATACATTACCATTAAACACAAGCAAGGTGATCTTATTTTAAGTGTCAGGAGAAATTTCCACGAAATGCGGGTCTTACTATATTCCGCCCACTCACGATGGTCCTAAGACCTAAACTTTCTGCTGGCTTTCCGATTCACTCCCATTTCCTCAAAGTTTGTGCCATCATACGGGTGAGAGGGCCCTTGATTCACAGAACCAGACCCCGTAAAAATAATTCAAGATCACCTCATCAAAATACCACGGCACATCGCAGTTACAGTTGTGACCGGGTGTGGACGTGTGAATTGCTCATTGCTCTATAATTTGATTGTAGCCATGTAAAAACGTAAGTAAGTAACTTTACTTACAGGATTCATTACCTTTGTAATTTGTGTGTTCACTACCTTTGTACCTAGTTCAGCTATCAAAACTTTGGGGGCCCAGTCCAAGGACCCATTATGTACCTCTGTAATCTGTAAATACCTTTGTAACCTGTTATGATTGTGGCCAGATCTACCTGGAGTTCATTATCTTTGTAACTTGCTCAGCTATCAAAACTTTGGGGCCCAGTTCCTGGACCCATTATGTACCTCTGTAATCTTTTGACTACCGCCCACAGGATGGGTATGAGGTGCATAATAAACATATTAAACTAACTAAAATCGCAGAGTAGTGTTCCGGGATCTCTTAAACGCGTACACACTCCAGGAAGAAAGAGGGTACCAACCTGTTACGAAGTCACCAAAGCCTATGGTTGTGAGGGTGATGTAGGCGAAGTAGATGCCTTCAATATAGGACCACTGCTCCAGGGCCATGAACACTGCTCCGGGGATGAAGATGAACACAACGAAGCCAATGGCAATGTAGATGGAAGTAGCCAGGGCGATGACCCCACGAGACTGTTGCTTTTGCACGTCCAGCTGGTGGCAAGGAGAGTTTGATGGTGAGAGTGATGGTGGGAGCGGTAAAAGTAATAATGGTGGAGGTAAAAGTAATAATGGCGGTGACAATAGTGATACTGAAGGTGTTAGTGATGATGCTATTGATGACGATGATAATGGTGGCGATGGTACTGACTGTCGCAGTGGTAACAACAGATGTGGTGATTAATTCAATTGAGAATTCCAATTCCTTTGACGAAAATACAAAGCTTCTCCCAAGCACGTTTCTTCTAACGTCTGACAAACCGGAGATCACTGACCAAGAGTGGGGGTTCATTGCTCCTAGGTGGTAGTGACAACACTGAAATGGCGCTCGTCACCCTACTGAAAGTGGGCGGTAAGAGCGTCCATGAATTTGCTGAGTTTGATGAACATGCCATAGCCATGTAGCTCTCCTTGACAGAATGCTGACATATGACTGGCTGGTATCACTTTCGCCCCTGCCTCAGGCCTACGATGTCCGTTGGGGGTTGTGTTCTCTTACTGTCCTCATATTTCTCTTGAAAGCCCAGAGTCACTAGAGACCTCCTCCTCTGGCGGCATACACTCTTCTCAAGTGTTCTATCATGTCTGAAGGCCAATATGTTAAGTAATCCACACGTGGACTGTAAATATGATGTTTATAATTGTACCATTCTCGTTCCTTGCCTCTAACACCTGGAGTTTAGAATAATTATATCTAGTGAGAGCCGCAGTTAATGTATCAAGGTTAGAAGAGTTGCCGCGCAATTCTCATAACAAAGAAAATGGAGAAATTTGAGTGCATGGAGCATAGCGAACAATCCAGCTCTGAAGGATGGAAGCATGATTATTAAGAACATAAGAACATAAGAACGAAGGAACACTGCAGAAGGCCTACTGGCCCATGCGAGGCAGGTCCAAGTCCCTACCGGCTTAAGCCAATGCACCCAACCTAGTCAGGTCAGGTCACATTGACTTAAGGGAGGAACACGGCAACCGACCTGTTAGCACAAGCTATCAGGTCTAACTCACACCCACCCACATCTACTCATGTATTTATCCAACCTATTTTTAAAGCTACACAACGTTCTGGCCTCTATAACGGTACTTGGGAGTTTGTTCCACTCATCCACAACTCTATTACCAAACCCGTACTTTCCTATATCCCTCCTGAATCTGAATTTTTCCAACTTTAAAACCATTGCTGCGAGTCCTGTCTAGGCTAGATATTTTCAGCACACTATTTACATCCCCTTTATTTATTCCTGTCTTCCACTTTTAAACCTCAATCATATCCCCCTAATTCTACGTCTTTCTAGAGAGTGCCAGTTTCAGGGCCCTTAGTCTATCCTCATAGGGAAGGTTTCTGTACATGGGGATCATCTTTGTCATCCTCCTTTGTACATTTTCCAGAGAATTTATATCCATTCTGTAATACGGTGACCAAAACTGTGCAGCATAATCTAATGGGGCCTAACCAAGGATGTATAGAGTTGAAGAACAACCTGAGGACTCCATTATTTATGCTTCTTGATATGAAGCAAGGGTTCTATTAGCTTTATTGCGAAAAACTTATGCACTGTTGTCTTGGTTTCAGATTACTGCTAACCAGAACTCCTAAATCTTTTTCGCAATCCGTAATATTAAGATCTACATTATTTAGTTTATATGTGGCATGGTTTTGTCCTGTCCAACATTTTAGAACTTTGCATTTGTCTATATTAAACTGCATCTGCCACTTCTCCGACCCCCTGCATCAGTCTATTCAAATCTTCCTGGAGTGCTCGAAAGTCCTCGTCAGAATGAATTCGACGGCCTATTTTGGTGTCATCGGCAAACTTGCCGAGTCGCTCTTTATTTCCTCATCTATGTGTTTATGTGATTGTGAACAGCAGGGGGCCCAACACTGACCCCCTGTGGAACACCGCTCGTGACGCTTCCCCAAATCTGATTTCTCCCCATTTATGCAAAATCTCTGCTGCCTCTTTTTCAACCATGCCTCTATCCAGGAAAAAATTTTCCCCCTATTCCATGTGCTTTAATTTTCCTCAATAGTCTCTGATGTGGGACCCTGTCAAAAGCCTTACTGAAGTCCATTACACAATATCATATTCGTTACCATGATCTACCTCCCAAATACCCTTTGTGAAAAAAGTTAATAAATTCGTAAGGCAGGAAAAGTCCCTTTGTAAAACCATGTGAGATTCGTTGATTAATTTATGCTTTTCAAGGTGGCTACGAACTTTCCTCGGCAATTATTGATTCCATAAATTTTCCCACTATGGAGGTTAGGCTTATTGGTCTATAGTTCGAAGCTAAAGACCTGTCACCTGTTTTTGAAAATAGGTATCACATTTGCCCTTTTCCATTATCTGGCACCATCCAGTTTGTAGTGATATGTTGAAAGATTAGCCAAAGGTGTGCTAAGCTCCTCTTTACATTCCTTTAGAACCCTTGCATACAGTTCATCAGGGCCTGGGGATTTGTTGGGTTTTTAATTTATTATTTGCCTAAGGACCATGTCACTTGTGACCCTAATAGTGCACAGTTTATTATTCCTGTTCTACATATTTATCATTACTGGAATATCACTGGTATCCTCCTGTGTAAAACTGAGAGGAAGTATGTGTTAAAAATTCTACAATTTCCTTATCACTGTCAGTGAGTTTGACCGAGGAACTTTTGAGTGGGCCTATCTTGTCCCTGATCTTACTTCTGTATACCTAAAAGGGAATCCTTTTGGGTTAGTCTTCGATTCTCTTGCAACTTTAACCTCATAATCTCTTTTTGCTTTTCTAATTCCCTTTTTTAATTTCTCTCTTTAACTGAATATATCGATTTCTTAATTGCCCTCTCCTCTTTTGATTTGCCTATTTTTATGCCTCTCTTTTGACCAATCAGATTTTTAATCTATTGTTCATCCATTTAGGATCATTTTTGTTTGATCGATTTCCCTTTTTGGGAAAAATTTAATTTGACTGAGCAGCTAGAACTATGCCCTGGAAAGCATCATATCGGCAACCATCACCCCTACCTGACCCTAGTCAGGTCATTCCAGTTCAGCCCCCCCTAAGTAATTTTTCAGTCCCATGAAATCAGCCAAGCGAAAGTCAGGGACGGAGACTTGATTGCCATTATTAGGGGAATTCATGATATGTTAAAACTGAGTGATTTGTGATCACTCTCCCCAAGCTCATCATTTTAAACCCCAAGATTATTAATTAGTGTTTCCCTACTGGCAAAACAAGTCAAAGGGGGTTATTTCCCCTAGTTGGCTCTGTCACAAAACTGTTTTAAAAAACAATCTGGATCGTATCAAGAAGTCACCCGACTCTAAATTTCCTGTCAAATTGCTCCAGTCAAACTGTCTATAGTTGAAATCTCCCATTAGCACAACATTTTTGTATGTAGATGCCTTACGAATTTCGTCCCATAGAAGTTTACTGCACTCCCTATCAAGATTTGGGGGCCCTGTAAATCACACCCAAAATTAGTTTTTCTCGGCCCTCGAGAAGCTGTACCAAACAGATTCGTGGCTGACGCTTCTAATTTAATATCTTGTCTAAAACAACAATTTAAATTGTCTCTGACATACATCGCTACTCCACCACCTTTCCTGTTGACCCTGTCAGTGTGGAATAATTTTAGCCTTGTATGTGACATTCAGATGGCATCTCTCTATCTTTCAGATTTAGCCAGGTCTCTGTTATAGCAATAATATCTTGTTTCCTGCACTTGCAATTAATCTTAGCCCCATCTATCTTATTTCTAACACTCCTGCTATTAGTATAGTAAACCTTAAGGGAGCTAGTCCCTTGCTGCCCTTGCTGTCCCCTTTGTTTTTGCCTGTTCTATTGTCTTTATTTATAACTTCATGCTGAATGCCTTTTTAACATTTTTCTGTTTCCAAACCCCAGTGTTGCAACCTGCTTGTTTCCACCCCACACCCATACCTTATCTTCCAAACAGTTTAAAACATAGGGATTTCACCAATGGCCTTCTCATCGGTCTGCAAGTGCTACCACCCAGCCCCAGAGGATGAACCCCATCCCCTTTCATACATATCATGTTTGCCATAAAAGTTGTTCCAGTTGTCGTTTTTGTAAATGAATGGGATTGCAAGTTCCTTGCAGATTGTCTACCCCGAATTTTTACACCAATTGCCCTGAAACCATTCTTTTTCCTACCCCTTTAGGCAAGATGCTACATATGATTGGGATCCCTCCCTTAGATTAAGAAATCTTAGCTGACCTGTACTTTTAGCAGCTTTCCTCCCCCCTTCCCCAATTTTTTTCCACCAGCACTGAGCCCGTAAGGGGCTTGTTCCCATTACCTGACTGAATTATCCACCCTGTTGACAATGTCCCCAACACCAGCCCGGGGGAAGACACTCTATCTTCTCTTTTATTCTATTACAAAAAGCCACGGTCAACATATCTTCCTGAGAGTCCCCAACCACAAGAATGCGCTTCCCCTTCATTAGCAGGGGCAGTAGTACCTTACCTTCACTGGCCACTGAAGTACATTCATCCGGGGAAAAAACAGAGAAGCGTTTCCTACCTTCAGATCTTCACTTTTAAAAATTTTTCCTTTACTCTGTGCGCCTCCTTTTACTGTGAACAACTCCCACTTGTGCGGGTGCTGGGTGCCCCCTCCGCTGGTACCGTTGTACCTCCCCACCTACAGCCCCCTCACAGTGAGAGACAGACTGCAACCCTCACTGCTAGAAGCCTCATTCCCCACATCCCAACACCAACATCTCTCCCAGGCCCATTGGGTGGACCTTCAGTCAAATTTTCCCTCCCTGGAGAAAAAGACCTCCTCCTTCAATCTCCAACCGTTTTAAAACACTGCAGAAGAAAGCCATGTTTGTAACGCCCCACGCGATTTACTCCCCCGTTGACGTCGGACCCCTGGAATATATGACGTCACGGCTGCCTAAAAAGACCTTCGTTCCTTGATTTTAATACCAACTGCTATCGTGACAATTTTAATGATTTTCATTATTTTTGAAAGAAGTGAAGATTTTAAAAAAAAAAAAATCTACAAAGTACAAAGAAACCATGAAAAGTGGGTGGACAAGGGAACTGAGTGAGTTTTGGGAAACAGTTGTAATTTAACCATTTTAAAAGGGGGTTTTTCAAGCTGAGTTCGTCTTACCTTTTTCCCCCAACACCCCCAGGCACCCCTTTGGGGGAGACTCATGCCACCGCCCCCCGTTGATGCTGACCTTGGACTTGAAAAGTTTGAAAAGCTGCCCCTCGAAAAAACTCAGAGGTCCAGGCGAGGAGCATGCCCGTGAGAGGGTCCCCCCCAGGGAGTAGGAATAAGGTTTCCCGCCGGCAGTCTGTGACGGTGATTGTTGCCGTATCCTGCAGAAGGGATTTCAGGTATGTGATAGGGAGCCTATGTGAGGGTTTTAGTGTTAACTGCTGTTGAGACACTGAGAGATAAAGGGCTATCATATAGTCCCAAACATACAAGAGGCGTTTTAAAACAAAACATGAAGAACATGATCATGGCCCCCACGATACCCAGAGACGGAAAGAAAACATCTCAAACAACAAAAATAAATCATATAGGCTTGGATGATGTCGAAAAATGTGAAGAAAATAAACTGAAAAAAAAACAGACTAAATATTTTTTAAGGCAAAGATGGCTCTCAGAACAGAAAGTTATAAGTAAATAAAAAGTAAAAATTAAAAAAGCAAAAAGAAATAAGGAAAGGGAAAGGAATTAATCATGGACCCTAGTGGAAGGGAACAGAAGATTTAAAAAGCCCCAGGTGCCCCAGCAAACCGTTAACTATGGGGATGTGGGGAACTAGTTACTAGACAGTGATGAACTAGTTACTTGGAGTGATGGGGATCTAGTACCTTAGGGTTGATGAGGACAGAATTTTTTTGTGGTGGTGAGGACAGTGGCGTTGGTGGGGGGGAACTAGTTTCTATGGTGGTGTGGGGGGAATAGTTCCTATGGTGGTGTGACGTCATGGAAAAGGGGGCGTCGATGAAGCTCCATGGGTAGCGGATCTCGACGGTCACGTTCTCCGGTGAAGGGGGGGGGACACCCCTCGTCCACTCCGTGATCTGCGATCCTGCCTTCTGTAGGGGCAGGAGGAGGTAGGTTACCTTTGCCCGAGATTTAAGCTTCCAGGGGAAAAGAAATGATTTAGAAAACCGACAAGTTAAAAATGGAATTTCGCAACATTTTGGGGAAATTTCTGAGGGAACTTTTGCCAGTAGTGGTTCTTCGTCCCAATACAAAGAAAAAACGGTGGAGAAAAGGAGTAGTTTGAGGTAATCAGTCCCTCAGCCGGAATCGATGTGTTCAGCCCATCAGTCGATTGGTGGACTGAAGACATCGATTTCAGGCTGAGAGACCGATTACCTCAAACTCCTTCCATATTCACCATTCTTCTTTGTAAGGGGACTGACAAAGGGCCACTGGGCTGGCGAAACGTTTCCTCAGTAAGATTCCCAAATTTTTCACAAGTGTCTCAGTCATGAACCTAAGAGGGAAGAAAGTCCCTGCATTTAAGTCAATTAACCTACACCGGACTTTAGTTCTACACATACGTGTAAACGAAACACAGTTTTTGCAATTAACACAGGTGTGAGATTAACATACATGTGCTAAAGTTTAGCCCATATACGTTAATTATGAGTTAGTTTAGCAGCTAAACTAACTCATATTTGTGAAATCAAACAGAACATTGTTGCCTGGGGCAATGTTGACAGTTGTCCCCTCTGACACTTCCAGTTTCTGCTTGTTCGGTTTCGGTTTGACTTGCATCGCCAACATGCTTCTTGTCCATCGCATCAGACTCATCGCCACAAGAGACACTGCCATAGTTAATCACTGACCGCCGCTTCCAACACTCTTGTACCGAAATCCTGTAATTTTAGCATGTCAACCCTGCTGACCAACTTGTCGGTACCCAGACAACAAAGCTCCTAGTCAGCGAAACGTTTTTTTAATATGTTTTTGTGCTGCACAGCGTTGTAATTACGGAAGGAGCTGGGATCAATCTAAGGCGGGACAAGACGAGCGAGTAAATCTCATAACCTTGCGGATTTCCGCTTGATTCCTGCCACAATATATGCTCGTTTTTCAGTTATCTCTGTATTAGGACTGAAGAAGCTACTCGTGGCGAAACGTTTCCTCTAATAAATGTCCTGAACTGTATATATAGTGTCTTTTTCCACATCTTGTCTCTACCACCATACCATTTCTACAGCACTGCTTACCCCTCTTCTCTGGCAGTAAACTGATACCATCCCATCCTCAGGAAGCATTGCTGAGGACCCGCGGAAACAGGCTACACTGCATGGCTTTCCAGTCATAATCCCAAATAATCTCTCCGTCTACAATATGCTCATTACGCCTGCGCTGAGATCACATCTTTCCATAAACAGTTTTAAGATAATATCATAAAGTCGACATTGTATACCTTGTATATGTATTTGTAGAAATGAAGATTATTGTTATTAATTATTATTATTATTATTACTACCTGTGCAAGTTGGTTGTTTGCATAATCTATTTTGTCCCCTAAGTGCTTCGTGGGTTGTGGAGATAAATGGTATAAACTACTGACACGATAGAAACAAACACAGATGCAGTGTGATGAGACCCTTTACTGACAGTGTTTCGCCCTCCAGTACGATTTTTTTAAATCACTTGAAAAAAGCGGGGTTTTAAAAAAGGGGCCTGAACCCTTCTTTGGGGAATTGTTTGGTTGGGCCCAGGCCAAGGGAGTATTTTTGTTTATATGAACCCTAAAAAAATTTCCTGGGGGGGGAAATTTTCCCAGAAAAAAAGGTTTATGGTTTTCCAGGGCGGGTTTTCAATTTTGGGGTTTTTTGGGGCAAAACCCCTTGGGGTTTTTTAAAAAAATTATTTCCAAAGGTAAGGACAGGAAGGCTAAAAAAACAACCCCAGCAGTTAAAAATAGATTAAGTACCCAAAAAAGGGGGGCCCCAAAGTGTGAGGCCCCTGAACCCCTTTAATTTACGTTAAGGGGGAAACCAAAAAGGGGTTAAAATTTTTTAATTTGAATCCCCTTGTAAAAAAAATTGGGACTTGGGTTAAGGGGCCTAAAATTTAGGGGGAAAATTAGGGGAAATGAATTAAAATTTTTTTACAAGGTAATCTGTGGTTATTAAATTGGTCAAATATTGTTTTGGGGTTACACAACCCAACCCCCAAACAACAACAAAAAACCCAATTAAAAAAAATAAAAAACTTAAAAAAACCCTTTAAACAACAACAGACATTTTTTAAAAGGGGAAAACACACCCAAACCCCGGCACAACAGGAGTTTTGGGCTATTGATTGTTTTGGTCACACACACACAAACACACACACACACAACAAACACACAAACACACAACAAAAACCAACACCCCAAACACACTCAACCCACACACACAAAACACACACCAAAAACCCAAATATCACATAAAGCCCCAAAAACAAAGACAAAGCCCCACAAGGTTGGTTTCGCCCCTGGGAATTCCTTGAGGAACAAAAAACCCACACAAACCCCCAACAAACAAAAAACCAAAAAAACCACAACAAACAAAACAAAACAAACACAAACAAACCCCAAATAAAGACACAAAAAGAGTCAAGAATTAGGAATTTTCAAAGGTTTGCAAAAAGGTTAGTTCAGGGAGGGGAACCTAAAGAAAATTTTGGGAAAGCCGGGAGCCGGGGCAGGGGGCGGGGAGACCTGAAACGAAAAAAAACTCGGGGGAAACCCAAAAAGAGGAGTTCCAGGGAGGGGACAAAAACAAACCAAAAATTAATTTGGAAGGCAAATAGCAAATGTAGGGTATTTTTTAGATGGTTGTAACGTGGAAAAAAAAATCTTGGGGGGTGAACCTAAATTTTTTTAAACATTTTATAAAGTTGGAGCGGGGGGGAAAAGGGCCTGGAAAGGTGAAAGGGGGGCCAGGGTGGAACCTGCCCAAAAAAGGATTACTTGGAAACCCCCACCACCAATGACTTTTGGGTTGCTTTTTTGTTGGGTTTTCCCTAAAATGGCTTTTCCCTGGGGATAAATATTAGTTTTTGGAACCTTTATGGTTTTTCAAAATTTTTAATTTTATCCATAAAATTTTAAAGCTTTTGTAAATTGTCCTTAAAATTTCCCTTTTTTGGACACGGTTGGGGGTTTTTAAATCCCTTTTTAAAACCCCCCACGGGCTTGCCCAATTGTTTTTGTTTAAAGCCATGAGTGGTTTCCCAGTAAATGTGTTTGGGGCCCCCATTTTTCAATCTCCCCCCCCAACCCCAAAAATTATTTAACCCCCCCCCCCCCCAAAAACCAAGTGTTTTATCCCCTTTTAAACATAATTCCCCCAATTTACATTTATTATTAAACCCCAATTGAATATGCATTCATTACCCCCCCAAATCTAATACCTGTTCTGGCTTCTGACACAGATCCCACAATTTATGCTTAATGAGTTGAGAGCATTTATGGATGCAAAAATCTTTACAATTAAACTGTAAAATCTTTGATACTAGATGCTTTCAGTGAAAGGGAGTTGGCAAACGTTCTGTCTGAAGGGTAGAGGCCAATTATTGATCGTGCTCCAATTTTTTTAAAGAGAGCCATCACTGTGGGGACAACAGCAGCACTACCAGCTGCACCATTTGGATTGGTAAAAAAGAACCACAGCGTAAATAATTTGCGAGAGTGTGGCGTGGTAAGTTTCAATACAGTGGGCCTCATGTTTGGCTCAAGGCAAAGTTTTGGTTGTGATTTAAAAAGTATTTTGGGGGGGAAATTTTAGGAATGTATTTTGGGAAATAGGGTAATATTCCTGGGCGGAAAAGTCCCGTTTTGCCTTATTGCATAGATCATGTATTGATTCATGCGGGGTCGGTTCCTTTTTTTCGATCCACTGAGGAGTTTTCACCGTGCTGGGAAGTCTGGGGGTTTTGTGCGGGGGTTTGAATGAGCTTGCTGAGATTTAAACCCCCAATTAGGTATTTCTTTCAGTAACCGACTTGAGCTTGGAATATCAAGTTTTTTGATTTTTAAAATTTTTCAATTTAAAATTTCATTGTTCGTTCTGCTTTTTTCCAGCCCCCAAGTTTCCCAGTCAGAACAAGAGCAGTAGTGGGCGGAAAATCAAAAAATGATAAATAAAAGCAAATACTCATTTTCACAATTTTAAATTAGCCCCATCGGGGGTAAAGCCCTGCCACAACTCTAAGTGTCTTGTTTTCTTTGTATTGGCGCAAAGTTTGTTCAACAGGCCCAAGTAGTGGAACCTAAAAACCCTAGAATGTATCTGCTTACATATTCTAGAAGAGACCCATATGCAATTGGTCTGACAAACGTGCCTCTCTTCGGGAGGACGTTTTGAGTATCTTTGTTTTATCAGTGAGATTACAACCCGGGTCTGACACTGGGGTAGAAAAATGATTAAGAATGTTTTGGGTGTTGGAAAATCGGGTGGTGTGAATCTTTGTCATCAGAAAAAACTAATCCCAAAATGAGGGGGGGCTGGCTGGCATAGCTTAAGTAATGCTTTTAATTTAAAATTTTGAACGTGTGGGCTGGCACACCTCCTGTGGGGTTCCTAATTCAAAGTCTTTAGTTACACTTCTATGCCCGGGCCCCCAACACAGACGATTTTTGTTGGAAAGGAAACCCTTTAAATCCAGCGGAGAAGCCATCCCCCAAATCCTTTTGGGCAAGTTCCTAATGATTACTGTCGGTTGGTACATCGAAAGCGGTTTTAAAGGCAGGAGGTAGTGTTGAGCTTTTCCAGTGTGCAGGGGGGGAAAGGGGGTATGAAATTTGCACGTCTTTCCTGCATGAAACCATGTCCCCGGGGGGAGAAAAAAATTGTTTGATTTGTAATGAGACGTTTAAAGAATCTTTCTCTCAAATGTTTTCACAAGCAGCTAGTAAGAGTTTTGGGGGAAAAATGCATTTTTTGTTGGGGCTTAGGATTAAAAATGTGAGGGTTGGTCCAAGTTTGGGGAGCCCCCCCAGTACATAGCTTGTTATATAATTAAGTAATGGATTACGGTATCGACACAGCAATTGAGTATGTTGTAAATAATCCCATCCTCACCGGCGACGTGGAGTTCCCCTTGTTAGTGCTGCTCAATTTCATAATTAGTGAAAGGAATTTTGCAATATCTGCCCTTTGGGGAAAAAGCAACAGTCTCTCCCTTGATCATATTTGTATTTAATTTTTTGGGGTGGTACTGGGAAGATTGTCATAAAAAATGTGCAGCCCCAAACCTGATAACTCATTCGCCCTTTGCAAGGATGAGGGTAAGCGACAGCCCGTTCAACAAGGGAACACAAGTGGAAGTTGGACCCGGTGAGGCAAGGGATTTAGGAAGTTTTTTCAGTCAAAGAGTTGTCAGGAAGTGGATAGTCTGGAAAAGGGGGCAGTGGAGGCAGGAACCTCATAGCTTTCAGAAGTATGATAAAGTGGACCTGGGGGGGACCATTTAAGAGGCGGGGCCGGAGTATGAATCGACCCCTGCACCACAATTGGTGGACACACAACACACACACACCACACCACACACAACACACACCCAAAACAACCACAACCCACCACGACCTCCTAAGTTACCCCAAAAAGTTTTTCCCCCTTTACTGCGCATATATATATCTTATTTACAGCTGTGATAAACAAAGGTAAGCCAAGTGGGAACTCTCCCCCCCCTCCGCACTCCCTCAAATCCCACCCTCCCTTCCCCCCCCTCTCGTCAGACAGGGGGGCAATGCAATAAACATCGATGGGAAAATCCGGAAAGTTATGTTAATAATTCGTTGGTGAGGGAAGTAGGGGAAGATAGGTATGAAGGAAGTACACGGGGAGGAATTTTGAGCAAAAAATGCGACACTATGAGCATTACTCTGTCCCGTAACTACAAATTGGTATCATGTAATTAAAAATCCCTCCAGACCCTTCACGTCCTACATTTTACCCCCCAACTTTTTCCCCCCACCCCCCACACAAACCCCATCCCGGCATTTTTAAAATACAGATATGCAGAAGTTCCCCAAATTACCACCTTGCAGTCAAAGAATCTTCCCAAACCCGGGTTTTTAAGCTCCCGTCATCATCACTTTGTCGTCCTGGTGTGATAAGTAACCGTGTTTGGGACACGACTTACAACCGTCTGTGCATGTTTTCTTTATGGTAATAGCCCTTTGTGCTCTTCGATTTTTGACAACTACCCTTTTGTTTTGACTTATGGGGGAAAAAACCCTTTGAGATAGTGATTCATGCCCCCGTTCCCCTTTGCACCCCAACGTCGTTAAAATGTTTAATTCGTTCAGGAACATGGGGATCTC